TGGACCCCTATTTATCTCAAAACTCTTACACACAGACCAAGAGGTTTTTGCATTCCTTTTAAATATCTGGTTGTGACAGAGCTTGTTGTTGATCAGATGCACTGTTTCATTCATTTTTATTGTAATATATTTTTTGTTTTGTAAATATGTTACACAACAAAATGTGATTGGTCTAAAATATTTGTAATGTATATTAAAAGGCTAAAAAATATTTGTAGAAACCTAAGTTATTTTTGCACTTGTAGGAATATAATGACAAGCTTGAATTACATCTTCCAACATGATTCACTTTTAGGAACGTTGTGGGGGAAGAATATGACAAGCATATAATACGTTTGCACCAAAACGTGATTTAACAGGATTTCTGTATTTATACTTTAACCACCCCCACTGACATTCTTTGCAGCCAGCCTCTCTCTGTCTCCCCCACCAAACACACACACATTTTTGATCACTGTACTTGAATACCATGTTTCAAAAAGAATTAGCATAGAAATCCTAGTGAGAATCCTAGGAGAATATTAAAGGATTTGCAAAACTGTATTTGCATGCTGGGGCAAATGGATTGATCCTGGGAGTCAGGGACTTTGTCATAGAGAATGTATTTTGGTTCTTTATGGACAGAAACAGCATGTTCATTTAGAAGCATATGCTACAAATCAAAAGCATTTAAACCATCACTGTACTGTCCTTAGAAGATTGTTCAAGTTGGATGCTGGTGCCACTGATGAAACATTGTGTAAAGAATGAACACAAAAGTTGAATTCTGGAAACAGGTATCACAGTAGCAGGACAGTTTCCCTGCTAGAATCATCTATCAGGTAATTTAGGTCAAGTAAACGAGTTTTGATTGTCCTAAAGATAACCAAGAACTATAGTGGACTTCTTTGGGCATAGTGGTACAGTATTAGCTTATGACCAATAGACTGGTTTTGAATTCTGGTTTTTCCACCTAAGGTCTGTCATATTGGGCAAATTTCTTAAACACTGTCTTACTTTTACCACCTGTGAAATAGAGATAATTCCAGCAACTCTTCACTGTAGGAATTAGGGACTGTGTATATGAACTGTTATCAAGTGGGTAGTCAGTAAATAGTAGCTATTGTTATTGTTACTGATAGTCCATAAGACAAAGTATATCATCACTGTGGGTCAGTGATGGGACTGGAATTACACTGAAAGGTCATCTGGTTGTGGTGAGTGGGTAACATGAGTAGGGAAAAGCAATCAAAAGTATCTTGTGCCTTGGCCCTTATTTTCATCTCCTTGGGCTGGTAAGATGTGTCTGCATAAAATGGCAGAGACTTGAATTGTAGGTTCTGTACAAGGAATGGCTATGTGAAAAGAAGTGGTTGAGAGTAAAGAAGGAAAACTAACACTGATTTCAGTAGTGTTGCATCATAATTTAAACTTAAGCACTGACTTGAGAGCCTGCCCCGCTGCAGATATGATGCTGCTGTGTTCATCTGGCATGCACTGCCCTAGGGGCTATTTTATATGCATTAGTTTTCTCATCTAATTCTCAAGAAGTTCTGGGAGGCAGGTTTTGTAAATCTTACTTCAGGAGAAGGAAGCATGGAGAGGTTTACCCAGAACTGTGGTTCAAGGCTAGATCTTTTCTGTAGGATAAGGAGAGATGATACTATATATAGTGAATTTACAAAATCTTGTTAACTGTATATTTTCCAGATACTGTATGCAAGATACTAATAAATGTGTAAGGGAAAAATAAAAATTAATGAATGGATTTGGTTGCCCATTAAACATTAGGGGTTGCTGTTATTTCTAATTTCTAGGACAGTTCCTGCCTCCTTGGTGCACAAGATTTGTGGGCAATAGTACAAATGTTGACTGTAGAGTTGAACAGTTTTGAACTTGCTCTCAGCTTCCCTACTCACTAGTTACTATCTGACCCTTAGTTTTCCCATATGTAAAATGGAGATAATAAAACCTACTTCATAGTATAAAAGAATTCTATGCAAAGAGGGAATATAAAAATTTATCCAAAGTCCACTGTATACCTTGGCAATCTGTCAGAGGACACAGATCTTATAATCCAAAACCATATTGAAGGCAAATCAGTGATGAGGCTCAGCTTCTAAGGTTTTACTTTCTATTTTTGGTGACTTTTTTTCTTGAGTAATGTGGAATGAGTAAGTGGAACAATTTTTCAATGCAACATCTGTCAAGAGGATAGCAGATTATCTCAGGAGATGCAAAGTCTCTGTCAAGATAGCTTTCTCTTTATAAAGTGTTCAGCAGACTCGAAAGGCCAACTGGTGTGGGCAGGAAACTTGTTGGAGACTGTGATGAACTTGGAGACAGTGATTTTTAAGACAGATATTTGGTTATTCAGATGATCAAAATATATTTCTCATACTGTTCCTGGCTCATAGCTCTCTAAACCCTTGGAATTTTCTCAGCATTGAGTGATAAAGAAGTCTTCTGTTGGATTAATGGTGCTTTTGGAAAGCACTTTAGGATGTGAGCTGGTTGCCAATAGAGGCAACCCTGTGCTTAGAGGGTTGAAACTTTCAGTCCTATCCTCTGACCTCTGGGGAGGGTGGAGGGGTTGGAGGTTGAACCTATTGCCAATGGCCATTGATTTCATCCGTCCTGCCTATGTACTGAAGTCTCCATAAAAACCCAAAAGGACAGAGTTCAGAGAGCTGAGTTGGTGAACACATGGAGATTTAGGGATTGGGGCACACTCAGAGAGCATGGGAGCTTAGCACCTTCCCACATACTATGCTTTATGCGTCTCTTCCATCTGGCTGTTTCTGAGTTAATTGCCTTTTATAAAAAACTTGGTGATCTAGTGAGTAAAATGTTTCTCTGACTTCTGTGAACTACCACTCTAGAAAATTAATGGAACCTGAGAAGGAGGGCCTAGGAACCTCTGATCAGTTTTTCAGTAGCACAGGTGACAACCTGAACTTGTCACTGGTGTCTGATGTCCAAGGGAGGAGGTCGTGGGAACCTTCAGTTTACAGCCGGTTGGTCACTGGCCTCTGAAAGGGGGCGGGAGGCAGTCTTGTAGGACACCCTTCTGGTGTCTGAGAATTGCTTGGTGTTGTGTGGGAAGCCCCCACTATGCCCCCACCAGTGGGAGTAGATCCTGGAAACTTAGAGACAAATATTGTCTCTGTATTTTCCTGTTTCCCTTGTGCAAACACTTCATCGTTTTACTCCTCACCATCTTTCAGCTTCTTACCGCTAAGCCTCACCTGTAGGTGCTCAACCAAGCTATGCCTCTGAAGTAATGTCACTTTTCTCCAAAATAATTTCCCTTCTGTGGGACGACCTCAGGCTGACTTGGAAGGCTCCAACAAACTGTTAAATGGCTTTCCTGACACATGCTGGATGGTTGGGAATGGAAAAGAAAATGGGGAGATTTGACACTATTGAAGATCCTCATCACTTAATAAGGGGGAAAAAGTGGTAACTTTTTCCTGAGAGCAGCTTGGCACTACAGAAAGGGAACTAAAAAGGACAGACTTCCAGTGTTTTAGGCTTTCCCCCGAATGCTTTAATAGGTATTGGAAAGAATGTGACACTCAAAGAAAAACATGTTCTCAAAGATTCTGAATAGATGCAGGCTACAAAAGCAGAGTGAGCACAGCATAATTCTGGATCTCCAAGGGTCTGCAGTGAGGCCGGTATTAGAGACGCATTATTTTTAATAAGTGTACTTTCCATCTATAAGGAGAAATGGGAGGAGCTAGAAAAATAAATCCACAAGTAAACATGTATTGAGACAGTATGTTCACTGCACAGTTTTGAAAAAGTAAACACAGCAGGGATCCTGAATGACTGGTGGTTAGAGTTTATACTTCTCAGGTAGGCAGGGGAACGTGGGTTCCCAGGAACCCCTTTATCTTTCAGTCCCGTTGAAATTTAAGAAACAGCAAGAGAAGAGGGGCAGCAGCATACAGTGGAGTGGTTCTCAGCTAGGGGTAGTTGAGCCTCCTCCAAAGAGCTGTGTGAAGCAGGCAAGTCCTATCTGAGACTCTTTGCAGAAGCACTTGGACTAGACTGCTTTTAAGGTCTCTTCCAGATTGTTCCCACCATGAGAAAACTCTCCATTCCCACGAGGAGTTAAATGGCTCTCTGAGGTCTAAACTGACTTTGATTACTTGCAGACTTTGAGTCCCCAAGGCATTTTTAAAAATAACTCTTTATTTAAAGGTTCATGAAAGTGTTGGGCGCAAAATATCTTACTGGTCTTTGTCTTTAAACTTGGGTGTAAAGAAGAAAACGCTAATGTTGGAAAGGTGCTAAAGTTGGTATTAAGCAAGGTACGCCAAGATCTTCGCGAGGTATGTCTGCTCCAGGCCTGTTATCAGGTGCCCCCATCCCCACCTCTGCCACAGTCAAGCAAACACAGACGGGCACACACACACACGCACGGGTAGCTGGGCTCAGAGAACGCAGTGCAGGTAAGCGGCTCTCGCCTTCCTTCCCCATCGACAGTAACTTGCTCCCTTCCTTCTCCGACTCCCACTTTCTTGACCTCCACCCTCAGGCAGCATTCTTTGCAGCTAGGAACCGCGCAGCCAGGCCTGTGTTGCGCTTGGCGCGTCCTGACTTGGTGGCGGAAGAGTGTCCGCGGCCACAGACCAGGCGGTTCAGGAGGAGGCAAGGTCCCAACCCGCAGACTGAAAGGCGGAGCATGGGGCAGGTCCAGGGATTATGCGGAGGCGGGGCCCGAGGTGGGGCTGGCGGCGGGGGTGGAGGGCCTGGGGGCTCTGAAACTCCCCAGAGGCTCGCGGCCGCAGGTCGGGTTACACTGAGGGAGTGGTGGGTTTACCCGGCAGGCCCTGGAGCAGGATCACGGGGTGGTGCGGAGCTCTGAGAGCTGGGGGGTGGAGTTACGGGCGAGAAGGGGCGGGGCTCTGCGTGGCGGGGGTGGGACTGGGACATTAGGGGAGGGGCCTGTGGGGGCGGGGCTGAGATTGGGACCATTAGGGGCGGTGCTCCACGGGGCAGCTCTGGAGAGGTCGAGCCTGGCAGGGGCGGGGCTCTGCGTGAGAGGCGCGCTGGGGACCCGCGGTGCCGGCCGGGGCGGGACCTGGGCAGGAGCAGGGCCGTGGCAGGAAGCCGGAAGCAGCCGCGGCCCCAGCTCGGAGACATGGCGGGCGTTAAAGGTATATCCGCGGTTCCCCAGCTTGTTGGTCCTCCGGTCGGTCTCTGCTTCCGCTCTGGGCTAAGCCTGGAGCTGCCCCTTCAGCTGGGGGACGGGAACGGCGCCCCCAGCCCGGCCACCCTTCCCGCCTCTGCGGTGGGAAGGCGCTTGCCCGCTCCCTTCGGGTAGAGGGTCGTTTCGGGGACCTTCGTCCCGTTTTTGCGAGGCCATGGGCCTTCAGGCTCTTGCGCGCGTCCCCGGGACCCGTGCCTTCCTGGGAGACCCAGGAGCATCACCTCCGGGGCTCTTCCATTCCTCGGAGCGTCCCCCGACCCCGACCTCTGCGGGTTTGGACCTGGCTGCCCGGGTTTCCGCGTCCTGACACATCCACCCTGACGCCTCTTCCCTTTCCTGCCGCTCCGCAGTTTCCCATCTCTTCCAGGGGGGCCGTTGTGTCCAGTGCTCCTCGCACTGGGGCACTTAATCCTCTAGTTCCTAATTATTTTTAACAATTAGGCAGAGTTGACTGCAAGCTGGTGTCAACGGAAAGCGCCCAGAAATGCTTTATTTCTCGTCACTGTGGAGAGAGTAGATTTGGTAGCTTGTTACCGCTACTTTCTTCAGTGTTTATTCATCTGTGACAAAGTAGGGTTTGCGCACTGTGCTTTTGAGTGGGGCAGTTGATAAAAAGGTGCACCAAGAACACAGCTTCCCTTATCTGTATGCCTCAGAGGGAAAGGGGATGGCAGCGGTGGGAGAGGTTATTGGAAGACTTCCTGTTATTTTGGTAGGAAACCACTAATTTCTCATCTTTTGAATAGAGGACAATAACTTGTTTCTATGCTGGAGTTCCGCTCATCTTTGAAATTTTTTCGTAAAGACCTTCCCTCCCAGTTAGTATCTGCTATAAACATGTATACAGTATATTTGCATGCATGTGCAGTTCACTGTGAAATTTATCTTGGGTGTGTGAAGTGTTTTAGCAGCAGACACATTTTATCATTCTTTCTTTCTGGATGACTGATCTTCAACATCAGTTCCGTAAAAGTGGTTTAC